TATCTCTTCTTAGATAGCTATTAAGCACTGAGTTGTAGGTGCTTTAAATGATATAGATATAGCGTGTTCATATTATTATCTAGATCTTTATTACCTAATACCTAAATCTAATCTCTAAACAGTAGTTAGTTACTATTATCAATTTCACACTTAGCGATCTAAACCTTTAGCTTAAGGCTTAGGGGGAAGCTTCTTTCTCATTATTTTACAGCAGCATAAGCCTGCTAATAGACTTCATCTTATCCTTAGGTTTAATCCCAGAGTTGCTATAGTTCTTCATCATTAGTAAATATAAGTATTAATAATGCTGCCTCTATATGTTATACATATGCTGAGGGTAGGGTTGCTTCTAGGAGGAGCTATAGGATTCAACCTTATTTACACTTATCCTCTAGAGATATAGGTATATCTTGTTCACATCTAGAGAGTATGTCTAGCACTACTGCGTCACTTCCTAGCTGGTATTATATCTCAAAGTTATACTGAGATAGTTCCTCTGCTTATTAGCTTTACTGTTCTATAAGCTTCTGCTTTGTTATAAAGTACTTTAGGTTCTTATAGTCTGATAGGATCCTAAAGTAGCTAACACTCTATAGCTTTGCTCTCTATTCTTATAGACAGCTCATAATAGCTAGCATCTCCTTATTATATATTAGATAGTTAAACTAAGCAGCATTAAGCTGCTGTAAGTAGTAGGCTACTATATAATATCTGCTATACTTATCTTCCTGTGAGAGTACGCCTCTAAGGGCAAAGCCTAAGCAATTAGCCTTAATATAGGTTATACGCTTAGGGTCCAGTTGATATAGAACAGGCTTAGCAGCAAAGATCCTCTTAAGCTCCTGGAATGCTACTTCTTATTCCTTACCCCAGCAGAAGGGGACACCTTTCTTTATAAGAGCTATCAGGGGTCTAATAATCTCTAAGTATGCTGGGATGAAGATCTAATAGTAGTTTGTAAATCTAAGGAAGCTTTAGACTCCCTTAACTATCTTTAGAGCTGCTTATTCCTTAATTGCCTTTAGTTTCTCAGGGTCATAAGAGATACTAACTCCAGCTGTAATAATAAACCTTAAGTACTTAACTATCTTCACAGAGAATATATCCTTATAAGGGTCTAAATATAGCCCTACTGCAGTAAGCTTATATAGTACTAGCTTAACCTTTGCTTTATAGTCTTATTATAATCTATTTAAGTAGATTAGGATGTTATCTATATATACTGTTATAAAGTCATCTAGATACTTTTAAAATATGCTGCTAATATATTATTAGAATGTGGTGGGGGCTTCTATAAGCCTAAAAGGGATAACTAGCTATTTAAATAGCTTATATCTTATCTGGAAGGCTGTCTTATACTCCTCTCCCTGCATAATCCAGATTTTATGGAATACTGCTACTACGTCTAGCTTAGTGAACCACTTAGCAGCACTAACAGTCTGTAATATCTCTTAAATTAAGGGAAGAAGGTATTAGTTATACTTAATAAGCTTGTTAAGAGCGTGGTAGTTATATAGAAATATAATCCTCTATTTGGTTTATATATGAATAGTATTAGGGCTGATGCTTCTGAGCTGCTAGCGTGGATAAAGCCTTTATTGAGTAGGTCTTATAGGGTTTTATAGAGGATGAGGAGTTCTTCTTATAATATACTATAGGGCAGACCTTATAGTAGTATAGCTTTATTACTACTACTATCCTATTTAATAAGGATCTTATAGTTAACCTTAAGGTGATATAGTGGAAGGTTGGCAGCTTTATTAGGTTGGAATAGCTCTTAGAACTTAGCTAGTATAGCTGGTGGGAGGAGGGCTTTTAGGTCTGCCTTCTCAGTCTTCTTTATAAGAGCCTTCTATATATCTGCTAAGCTGATCGCTTAAACTTTATAACCTGCAGTTCCTTTAGTGTGTTATTATGCCCTCTTATAAAGCGTTACAAAAGGGGCTCCTAGGAGGAGGCGGGCAGCTCTGATCTGGTGCACTTATCCTAGCTCTTCCTCACCTTTTAGATATAGGTTTATACTGCCCCTCTTATATTATATCTATTACGCAGCAGCATTATATAGGATGTAGTTCCTCTCTATCTAAGGCTTCCCTAGGAACAGATTGTTGCTAAGGCTATATATAGTATATATAAAGATCTTCTTATTATAACTGCATAGCTTAAGGTTAAAGATAACCACACCTGTTGCTTTTATAATGCTTATAGTGTTGCTGAAGCTGCCTAATACTCACTTAGAGTAGTCTACTATTAGTAGGTGGAGCTTATAGGCTAGGTTATAGTTAATAAAAGCATATAAATCACACCCTATATCTATTAGGGCGTCTGCTTAAATGCCTTTATATATATAGGTAGTAATTACTGCTAAGTTACTGCTTATATAATACTTAAACTGCTTCTATTTTGTGATATCACTAAGTCCAGCCTCTAACGCCTGACTTTATAGTGGAGTTACTCTTTTCCTAAGCTCTCTTCAGCCTCAGAGCTTCCCAGCTCCTCTATAGGACTCTTATTACTGCTCTCTTCTCGCTTCTTAGCTTTCTTAACCTTCACAGGATAGGAACGCTTCAGCTTAGGACACTATATAGTAATATAGCTAATCTGGTTGCAGTTAAAGCACTTATAGGTGTCTCTCACAAGCTGCAGCAGGTCTTTAGATAAGGAGCTGCTTTATTAGCAACATAACTTTATCTTCTCTTTACCCTTAGCGCAGCTAACGCTAGATATCAGTATATCTCTATCTATATCTTATTAGTAGTTAGGTTATAATATTTTCTGGGAAGTATAACTAAGGTAGTATTCCCTAAGCTTCCTGCTATCTAAGTAGGATCCTATAGTGAGAAGCAGTTTTATAAACTAATAATAATCCTTTAGTACTTCTAATACCCCTATTAATAGGTTGCTTAACTAGGAATTCAGTATGCCCTCTAAGTAGTTAATCTTAATCTTATCTTACTAAGATCCTCTCCTACTTACTATAAGCTCTTTCTCAAACTTAAGAAAAAAGGAAGTAAAACTCTCTTCCTCTTATTGCTATATAGTGTGTAACTTATCTAAAGCTTAGGCTTTAGCGTCTAGGTCCCTATATATTCTTTTAAAATAGTGTTTAAATTAAGCTAGGGAGGTGTCTCCTCAGGCTACTCTATCAGCAAAAAAGGTGGAGGATATCGCTTAGGTGGTTCCCTCCAGCCTAGCGTAGATATATGCGAATATACTCTCTTCTCCACCTATAGCTTCAGCATTAATCTATAGCTTTAAGTTTATCTCTAAAGCCTACTATAGAAACTGTTATCTTATGCTATCAAACTTTAGGGGGTTAGGAAGTATTAGCCTTAGTTATCTAGTTAAGGTTGGTTTATAAGGCTTAGCTACTATTATTGCAATACTATTACTTATTACCTATATAGTTATATTAGCTATAGAAAGGGTAGGTATACTATTTATAATTAGCATAAGGGTTGCTCTATCTGTTAATATAAGCCTATTTAGAGCTATTAAGAGCTGCATTATCTGGTCCTAAAGAGGATGTTGTCACGGGCTAGAGCCCGGATTGATATCTCCGGCTTTGCCGGAGCAATTACTGAGATCCGGCTCCGTTGGACCCACTACTCTGCCGCGTTACACCGCCTAACCCGGTCTGCTTCACTGCTGTTAGGTGCCTACTCTTATAAAGTCCTTTCTTCCTTCTTCAGCTTAGAATAGTCAATCGACGGCACCTCTACGTTGAACAAGCCTAGGGGCCAGCCCCTTACAGATGTATGCTTATATTAACCGCTTTATTAACCCTGCGGTTAATCTCTGCAGTTATTACGTCGTTTGCGCTACCTTCTAGCGAATCTATTATGTTGCACTTATGAGGTTTTCATATAGCGTCTTCTCGTTACGCTACCCTCTAGCAAATCAGTCATATCGCTCTCATGAGGTTTCATAAGCGTCTTTTGTTGTTAAGCTTAGAATATGTAAGGGGCTGGCCCCTAGGCTTGTTCAACGCAGAGGTGCTGTTGATTGACTATTCTAAGCTGAAGAAGGAAGAAAGGACTTTATAAGGGTAGGCACCTAACAGCGGTGAAGCAGGCCGGGTTAGGCGGCGTACTGCGGCAGAATAGTGGGTCCAACGGAGCCGGATCTCGGTAACTGCTCCGGCGAAGCCGGAGATATCAATCCGGGCTCTAGCCCGTGACAATAAATTATTAAATTTAAATAGCTAATAATAGAGATATAACTAGTCAATATAGAGAAGTTTCTAAAAAGTAAGTTTCTATATTATTAAATAGAAATAGATATCCTATAAATCTCTCTATAGTATAAAAGAATATTAGAAATATAAAGAATATTTTAATAAATTAATATAGCTACTTTTAAGAAATGAAGAAATATACTAAAGTTATAATAACTATAAAATAAACGCTATAGATATAATAGAATTTAGAATAACTTTATAATTTATAAATTATGTATATTAAAAAATTAATAAATAACTAGATCTTAATAATATACCTACTACAGATAACTAATAGATAATCTAATTATTATAAACTTAAGTTAAATATCTTAAATCTCTTTAGAAAACTAAAGTTAAACTAAATTAAAATACAAAGTTTATAAACTATAAAACTATATAGAAAATAAAATAGGACGTTAAAAGTTATCCTAATAAGTTAAAAAAAATATTAATTAAAAGCTATATTTCTAATAAATATATATATTAAGGTTTATATATAGAAGTTATAAATTAATAACGTTATACTATAATATAATAATAGGTTATTATCAATAACGTGGTTCATCAGTGAGTGGGCCACCATCAGTGACCGGGCCACTTTTCCCACCTTCATCACCTTCTAGCTTTAATACGTCCTTTCTTCCACAAAACAATGTCTAAAACCTCGCCCGAACACAGGATCATTCTAGCAATTGATGCGATCCGATTGACACTAGGATTAAGTATCCAACGTGCAGCGACTATCTACAGCGTTCTGAGAACTACCCTCCAGTCCAGAATGAAGGGTCAAAGTGCGAAGGTCGATAGCAGGAATGCCCAGCTGAATTTGACAGAGACCGAAGAAGAGGCAATTGTTTGATATATTATTAACCTGGATTCTCGAGGATTCTCGCCCAGACGCGTGGATGTGGGAGATATGGCTAATACACTGCTCCGGAAGTGTGATGGCCGACCGGTCAGGAAGCGCTGGATGGAACGCTTCGTCCAGCGTCGCCCAGAGCTTAAGATGCGATTTTCTCACGTCTATAACTATCAGAGGGGCCTCTGCGAAGATCATATAATTATTAAGCCTTAGTTCTAACTTATGGCTAATATGCGATCGAAATATAGTATTATAGATAATGACTTTTATAACTTTGATAAGACCAGCTTTATGATAGGTATGATCTGGCCTGGAATAGTTGTTATATATTCCGATTGGATTAGGAAGCCAAAAAAAGGTTCAGCCTAGTAATCGAGAATCGGCTACTGCGATTTGTTGTGTTGCTAGTAATGGTTACGCGATGCCGCCTTTTTTGGTGGTTCAGGGCTGCTTCCACCTCGCGAGTTGGTACTCTGAGGCCTAGATTCCAGACAGCTGGGCAGTCAAAACAACTTCTAATAGATAGACTAATAATAAGACTGCCCTAGAATAGCTTTATCATTTCGATAAATACTTAAAACCATAACTGAGAGGCATATATCAGATGCTAGTTGTTGATAGCTATAAAAGCCACGTTAGCAGCGATTTCAAGGACTATTGCAAAGAGAACAAAATTATAACTATCTGTCTACCAGCTTATTTATTATATCTCACCCAGCCTCTTAACGTTAGCTGCTATAGTGTCTTGAAGTTAAGATATAGCTCACAGATTAAGCACTTCATTGAGGCCTAGATTACCCACATCACTAAACCTAAGTTCTTCCTCGCATTTAAGGCTGCATTCCTTTAAACCTTTACCTATAAAAACGTCTATAGGGGTTTCAGAGGGGCTAGGCTTATTCCCTATAGCCCTCAGACTGTTCTTTCTAAGCTGGATGTGCAGTTACAGACACCAACAGCCCTAAACACTCCTAACAGGCTACCCAACCCTTAGGTTTCTAAGACGCCTCAAACCACTAATAAGGCTATTTCTCAGTCTTCACTTATAAAGGAAAGAATCTCTAGACATCAGGGAAGCTCGCTAACTCCAATTTGTGAAGCTGCTGATAAGCTTGAAAAAGGTCTGCAATATATTTCCCATGCAGCTGCCCTTATGGAGGAAGAGCTACGCTATCTTCGAGAAGCAAATACAGCCCTTAGTAAGCGTCAGAGAGCTAAAAGAACTAGACTATAAGACGGAGGGGCACTAGATAGGTCTCAGGCAAGGGAAGTCATGGCCGAAAAGGGTGTTATTGAGGAGGAAGGGTGTGAACAGGAGGAAAACGAGGGGCCGTCAAAGCGTCGTCGGACAGGTTTACAACATTATGGTATCTGTCGCAAGACTGGCCACAACGCAAGAACCTGTCCAGAGGCTGTGGAAATAAATAGTTCAAGTGATTCTGAGTAGTTGCAATTAATTTAATTGATTTTAGTTGAGATATAGAAGTTGTGAGTGATGAAGGTGGGAAAAGTGGCCCGGTCACTGATGGTGGCCCACTCACTGATGAACCACGTTATATTTTATAAATTAAATAAAAACTAAAACACAGCAATCTATTAAATATGTAAGTATCAAATATTTAATATTAAAGATTTCACATTATTATTTCTAAATATATTATTAGATATATTTAAAATATTATTAATATTTTCAGTAATTTATAATAATATTTCAAACTTAGTAAAATCAAAACTTTTAAATTTAAAACTTATCAAATCATTTAGTTAGATTTCAAATTTAATAAATAATTAAAAAAGACTTTTTTAAATATTATTATTTAGTTTATAAATATTATAATAAGTTTTGTAAGTTTATGAAAACTTCTTATTATTATTGAATTAAAGAAATAATTAAAAAATAAAACAAAATACTTAAATAACTAAAATAGTATAAAAGAAATAGATTATAATAGTTTCTTATTATTAGAAATTAATAATATATTATAATAATATAAATTATGTTTTATATAGGTTTAATATTTTAATTTAAAATTTAAGTTTCTTTTTTAAACCTTTTTTAATATATTATATTTATAAAATGAATTATTATTTAAAACCTAAATTCTAATCTCTATTTCATTTTTATACTTAATACTTAAATAAAAAAGTTTTACTTGTTATTTATATTTATTTAGTATTTACTTCAATATCCCTCTATACTTATAGATTATATAGGTATATACCTATATAGATATCTATAGATAATTTAAAGCTTAGTTTCTTAGCTCTAGTAGATATCATCCCATAGGGTTAATGATTATGTTGACTTGGGCAATACTTATATGTTACGACCGCTACAGTTGGTCACTGTAGGATTGTAACTATATAATGCAGAACAGGGGATAATGACAGCGGATTTGTCATTAGCGAAGCTTTTGCTTTGTGCCACAGTTGGTTGCCCTGACCCGCTCGTAACATTATATTCATTCTAGCCCCTTACGCGTTACGCTTGGCCTCGCGAAGTCTTCCGTCCTAACTATAATCACTCTTAATTTTCAGCAGTCATCGTTGACTTTATACGAAGCTCTTCGGCTATCCTTCAATACTCTTACAACATTTTACCCAGTTCGACCACTTCGTCCACACTGCTCAGCGCTTCAGAAACATCTTCATCCGTACTCTCATCCTCATCAACTGCGTCATCTGCAGCTACAGTATCGCTTAGTTTGAGCTCAAGCCCTATACTGACAACGACCACTGTCGACCCGTCAAGCAGTCTTACCTCATTGCCAACTGGTACTGCGCTCTCTACGTCAAGTTCGACCATCATCTCATCCGCATCTACGACGATCAGCACGTCAAGCAGTTCGAGTTCGTCATCAGCCATTATCACTGTGTCTTCCTCAAATTTAATCTTAGTGCTGTCGACAAGTTCCACTTCATCAAACAGCGTCAGTTCGTCTTCGACTAGTTTTGGGCTGTCTACCACAAGTAAATCCATCTCTCCATCTAGCAGCTCCTCCGTCGGATCCACCACCAATACCTCACAAGCATCCATAATTGCAGGAGGATCCTCAAGCAAAACGTCAACTACCTCATTCAATACCTTTTCTATCCCTGGCGCCAGTTCCATTGTGAACAGTAGCATCGCAGCTTCTTTCAGCACAAATGGATTGTCAAGCTCCAGCGTGCTTCTCAGCTCGACGCTTACTGTATTGCGTACTTCCTCAAGCTCGAGTGCTTCTTCGGGTTTGAGTACTTCTTCGAGCTCTGGTACTGTCTCCCCTACGACCGCATCTTCATTGGCATCGATAAGCTCTACAACAACGCCCTCTTCAAACACAACATTAGTTTTAACCTCTGCCAGAGAGTCTCAGACTACGCCTTTGGAGGTACAGACAACATTCCAGAGTCTTATATCAGATGGTTTCTCTTCGACTTCCAGCACTCTCGCTATCTCCTCATCGGCAACGACGGTTGAACCTCCTAGCTCTTCGCCATCATCAGCTACAACGATATCTCCCGGAGTGTTGTTTGTGCTCACCATTTTTACGGCACCTCAAGCAACACCATCTTTTCCATAACCTAAATACCACCAGAGAGGTTGATGATCGTGGACTGCAATAAAACCTGAACCATTAATAACTACAATAATTGCATTAGGAGGTGCTGTCGGCATATGAGTCGTTGTTCCATGAAAGCTGAGGTCAAATTAGCTCACATGATGTGCCGTTAGTATTGGCTGTCTTCCGGTTAGACTGAGTTCAATTTCAAGTTGTCATAAAACCCATTCAATCTCGCTCGCTACATGATCTTCATCGCACCAAGTTCCGCAAAACACATCACATCGAATCGAAGCCTGAGAGTGTTCGTTTCATGGCTCCAACAAGGTGCCCCCTCTCGTTTTGAATAAAGACTCAAGTCTTCCTTGACCGAATCAACGAAATCTGCTAGCCGTTTCGTCCAGACAATATGAACCCATTCGTCAAATGCCTCGGCCCAATAATCCGCCATTATCTCAACATCATCTCTCTCGCCATTTGTGAGATATCTGAGGACCCTGAATGCCGGTTTCGGAACCTCGACGTGCTCGAGTCTATCTATTATCCCATTGGCTTCAGGCAGGACAATCGATATGGATTGCAGTTGCGGCAAGTATTTCATAGCCATCGGTAGCCAAAGTCCTCGGTCGGTGACTGGGAGAGGAAGTGCCAGATGCTTTGTGGCGGAAGGCCATTCAACTCGACCGCATGCCTGACAGAAGTTGTAGAAGTTGTCGCTATCAAGGTAGAGCATGTCTTGTTCTGGGTTGTAAAGCCGAGCTCGGGGCAATTTTAGAAGCGCGACTTGGCGGGCCTCGGTGTTGGTCGCCAACAGTGGGGAATAAGGATTGTGAATTTTCAGTGTTGGAACGATGTCCAATTTGAGATCCGATGGTGGAATGCAAATGTTTGAGAAGGTCTCGAGGCAGCACTCCCAAATTCTCTTTCTAACATGGAGGGGGAGACGCGCAAAGTATCTGAATTTAGGTAGCGAAGGGTATTGGAAAGCATCTTGTGGGTGGATAATGCACCCTAGGTTCAGGAACAACATGATGTAGGTTTTTGATGAAATGTTGGAAAGGAAGATAAAGGCTAGAACTCCTCCGTCAAGCGTAATGCTCATGAGTATCTGCTTCGGCATGAGAACAATATACGTTTAATGAATGGGTCTTTGTAGCCAAGTTGGAACAAACATAAGGACATCACATATCCATTTGAGAGGCCGCCAGCGATATAGAGGAAGCCTGCTGCTTGTTGACCCAGTGCTGCCTAGACATCTCGACGCTAAGCATTCTGCCTTGCCAATGCCGCTGTAGCCGGTGGAGCCTGTCATCTGCACAACCTCACTGCGCCTCACACCGCCGCATCAAATGGACTCACGAAATAGCGAGCTCTTGGCATCTTCAGAGGAAATAAAGCGTGATGACAAGAAAGCTTCTCGAAAACATCTGGAGCTCTCTTTATAGAGAGACACCCGAGAATGCGCACTTCCTTAGGCAAATCTTGAACCGGGGAAACAAACAATATCCATGCATTTGTTTCTTCGGCCGTGGACAGACCTATTGCTGCTGAAGGGGTTTGCGTCACGGTCGAATATAATTTAGGCCAGGCTGACCAATTGAGTAGATTGGTGCTGGTCAACGACTGACTGTATTTATCATTGGTCGGAGTGTTATCGATGCGAAGTACGGGCAGCTCCGTTACTTCCACAGAAGCAATCAAATAAGCATCTTGGCATGGTAAACAAATTTCACGACTTAGAACAACACAGCATGACTTCAATCGGTCAATTGTGTACTGGTAGTTATCTTGTTCGATAACACAGAGGTGGAAACGGTGTGAGGCAAGGCGAGTCATACTCCCAGCTTGGATCGGAAGAGCCCCGTTATGCCACGGACTGGACCAAACGGATTCTCGCAACACCACTCGCACTATAAATATAAGCTGGGGTAAAAGAGTCATGTATTTTTTTGTTGAAGATCGCCTGGTTTTTGTGGCGGAAAGTATGGAAGGAGAAGGGGGGGGGGGGGGTTTGATTTCAACTTTAGTGTTTTGTGGAACTTGGTTCCATGAAAATGAAGCGGTGTATTGGAAGCCGCGTAATTGTTAATTTGAAACCTTCTCTTCTTCATACCGCGCTTTTGTCACCTTAGTCAAATGAATTCTTCAAAAGTCTGCGCCGGCCTCGTCTTGCTACACTGTTTCCTTCTTTCTTCACAAATCATCAGCTGGCGTACATCGATTCACCTCTTTCATTCACAATGCGCTTCTCCAGCCTCGTTCCGTTCTTCGCAGCCCTGGTTCTAGCTGAGGATCAGGGCAAAGGCTGCAACCCTGACAAATACACCATGGGATGCTCAGGCCTGAACATCGTCAAGTGTTATACCTGGCCTGGTCGATCCAGCCCAACTTGGAACTTTGTAAGCCAGTGCTCACCTAAAGCGTTGGCTGTAAACGTGGAGAACACTAACTCTCCTCAGGTCGAGACTTGCGAGAAAGTCTGCTGCAACGGCATTTGCACCGACACCAAGGAGGGTTGCTAGTCGCAAGAATGACTTGACATCATTGTCCCCTGCATCGGGTGCCGGGAGGTTGGAACAGAACACAACGATGATGAAGTTATCGATACAAGGCTCGGCTACTATGTAAACAAACACGCTCAATACGACAAGGTAGGCTAGATACCTCCTAAGTATGTAATCAATGAACGATTCTTCTACCCCCTTTCGTCGAAGAAACTTCGCCACCAGACATTTTCTATGCCGTGAACGGGTGGGGCCGCGCCAACCGGGGCCGGTGTCAGCCTGCGCAACTTGGCGACCTTGATCACTGCAAATTCCATGGATGCGACTTGGATGGTAAAGAGCAACGAGCGTCTGTTGATGCAAATCTTGGAGGAGAGGTCTTAAGGAAAACGCAGGAGGACAGTCGTTTTGAGACAGTTCAGGTTACAGGTTGCGCGTCGAACTTTGCATGCACCTCATTCAATATAGATGGACTTCATATTCAGCACCCTTTTACCGACTATGGTTCTTCCGTTCTACCGCTAACCCCAGCTCTAAGCCATCTCAATGCAAACTGTTGAGGGTCTTTTATATCCATATCGACTTGCTTGCTCGTAAATGCCGGATTCGTCCTAACGTCTAGTGCAAATACAGCATAGGTTTGGGCATTATTAATTCGTCTTAAGTCTGGCAGCTTGATGCATCTGCGGGTAACTGTTTAGTCAGGGTATCGGGAACACTATAGGAGTCTTCACTTACTCTGACGGCTTGTAGGCATGATCGGTGGAAGCCAACTCATCTGTCCAATATTCAAAATCTCCAACCACACCTGTGATGTGGGTGACTTCATGCAGCAAAGCAAACCCAGCAGCAGGTAGAAGTTGTCGTTCCAGCCTCCAAGTTGACATCGATTGCTCCTCTGCCTCGTCTGATGCGACAGCTCCGTTATTGAAGAAGTATGACGGACAAATGGTAATGGTGTTCTTCAACTTATTGGCAACAAGGTGGGTGCCTCGGGCACGGCAATCATCGGTATTGCGAACAGTTCCGCAGCCGATGACTAAGGTCTCTTCTAGATCCTCAAGTTCGGCAACGTACCATCCAGCTGAAGAGCCCAACGCTTCAATGGGATCGTACACCTCCCTTCTGATAAAGTTGACTTTGTCGGTATTGCTCGCTGGTACATAAGAGTAAGAATCAGCATCTTCGTGGCCGCTTCGGGTTACAAGGGGAAGACAGAGAGGAGCGGGTAAACTCACCGCCAAACCATCCAATGAATGCTGAAGTTGTTTCAGAGCCATCCTCATAAAGGAAGTCATAAGCAGATTTAGCATATCGATTCATCCACATAATAGACCTTTCGATGGCGGCAACCTGGTTGCTGTCGCAGAAAAATTGGCTGTTGCGACCTGATTTAACCAGCAACGATCCCGATGTTTTGTTTTCGGCTTCTCTTACTTAGCAGTGATGGATACTCCACAGCTGCACAGTGGATCAGCATACAGTAAGAAAGGAGCCATAGTAGAACGAAGCGCATTGTTGCCCTTTGCAGAATGCAACATACGTAGGTAGGGATGAAATTGATTATGAGTGCTACGTCCGCCCTCGTATTATGGCGGCGAGTTGGTTCCTACTCATATATGCGGGTTTGCAACGGGAGGTCTTGATGGACATTTCAGAATCTCATATTGTTGTAAAATCTGGATGCAATCACATGGATGACTGAGTGGTCATTGCTGATGTTCTGGGGCAGACACGGCGCTATTCGGGCGGCCCGTCCGAGAGGCGAGAAGTCTACTAACCACTCACATCGAAAGTTTAAAAGCAAATCAAGACATCTTCCTTAAGCTTTGTAGCTTTCAAGCACCTGCTTAAGAAATACGTCAATAATATCATGTTTCGTGCTTCTCTGTAGTGACTTTAATTCAGTGAGTTAGGCAGCATGCCAGTTCAGCCTTTCGCACGGAAATGCCCGAAGAAAGCTGTCAATCTACCCGTCGAAGTTTTAAACAACAGTGGAGGAGTTCTCTAGCAATAAGGTTTGAGTGATTCAGTCATACTGTAGCCTCAGAGGAACGGCCAGCAGAATGCAAGGACCAGGTGTGTTGGGTTAACTCAAATGTATTGCGGCTAATAACCCGTTCTCATGCGCCGAGCCCCGTGCTCGTATTCTGAATTCTCCACCTTTCCAGGCCGCCTTCTGGCCGAGGCCGGTCCGGACCGAATGCCGTCCAAGTCCGGATGAACCATAAAAATTTGCAGCTTCAGTGAGATGCAAGCTGCGAAATTGAGTCATCCTGGGACGGCTTGTGAGGGACCTGGCCCGGCCTATCCCCTGGCTGCCACTTCTCAGAGTCTCCAATCCGGTCGGCTGTGATTCCGGCTCTTCCGGCAGGATGGAGCCCAGCTTCGAGTTGTCTCTTATAAGAAACATTGCGAAGTCGTTCAGCCTCTGCAGGTGTGAGATGCAGCTGGAATAAGTTAACTGATTGAAAGTGTGACTTCAATTTACAATTACACTCACATAAATCTCGATCCCGATGGCATGAATAGCCAGGGCCAGCCAGACAGCCATCCCGAAGACCATGCCGGTGGCTGCTCCAGCTTCAGCAGCCGATGTTGCGCCGGGAAGGTCGGCGTGGACGACTGTTTGCTGACCCGGATTCTCTCCTGAAAAGTATGAGGCACAGTCAGGGTACAGAGCCAGTGTTCTGTTCACGTTGTCTACCATGAACGCAACTTGGTCGCAAGGACGCGATACATAGTAGGTTCCCATGTTGCTGATGATAGTGGCTGCAGTGATCTGAATTAGCCGAATAGTGATGATGGATCCGGCCTTGTTCAGATATTAGCATGAGATTATTTGAAGCATTTGCCGCACATACATAAAACCAAGCTCGCAACATCCAAGCTCTGTGTTGTTCAATCTGAAGCTTCTTGATGTTGATGAACGCCAACATCATTGAGCCGATGAACATGATCGATAGGAGGCCGATGCCAGTTTGTGTCTCGATGCCGCCTCCGAATGCGTTCCGCAAGAACATGAAAATGCCCGCTGTGCTGACGAGGGACAATAGTATGATGAGATAGCCGTTAATGCGATGGAAGAGCAACACCTTGTGACGAATTACTGGAACGAATTGGAAACAAGCTAGAAAGCTGGCCGGGAGGATGGCGCCGAGGTGCATCTTGATGCCGATCTGCTCGATCCGCTTTTGGTAGTAGAAACACTCCCCAGGGGCTGCACCACCGGGTCCACAGAAAATGCTGAAGTTGAGGTACTCAAAGCGGGCGAGTGTAGATCCCATGAAAGCACCGAAGAAGATGAAAAAGAGGACGAAGTTGTAGCCTTTGGCGAAACCCAATGGATTGTAGACTTTCCGTGCTGCTGCAACAAAGCCGTTGGCTGGAGGTCGTGTTGGCTGAACCATGTTCGCGATTGTTGTCAGCCGAGTCTGATTTAGTTGTTCAAATTCTTGTTCTTCTCGAATATAGATTCAGAGTATGAAAGATGGGTTTGCGGTGTTTGAAGCTGCTGTCTTCCAATCTTTGAAAAATAGAAACCGGAAGCTCATTGTCTTATGTCTCATCGGGAAATCTGCGCAGACGCGTCTTTAGGGCTGGGAGGCGCTTGAACGGTCTTGGAAAGAAAATGCGCGACAAAGTCGTAGGCGGCATTAACCATTGTGCCAGGCAAGGGAAATTGGAGATGAATTCTACCGCCAGACGCCCGTCTTGGCATCTAACTTCAGCCTGCTCGCGCATCACGAAGATCGGGAAGCTGGTTCAAACACCCAATCGAGTCACAGCGCGCAGAATGCTTCCCAAATGGGCCTAGAGGTGGCCTGCTTGCCAGCGGTTGAGTGGATCGCTAAGGAGGCTTGGAATCCTTCGAGCGTTTGCAGGGCTGAAAATAAGCCAATCCTTCGTCTCCAGCAACGTGGGTGCGCCTTTTGTGTTACTTCAAGTGTCGTCGTCATTGATCTCCGCGTGCATACTTCATCGTCTACCAGCATTCCTGACAAGTGGTTGCTGCATCATTCGTCGATTTCTAAGCCTCCACGACAACGTCGCGCGTCCAAGCCCGCGGCCCCGCGATTGAGGCTTGCTTGGTCCGGGACAGATCAGATGCAACCGCTCCGCCGGGAGATAAGCCTACTTTCCGATCGCTGTCACTCCACCGATGCCCCGGAGTAGTTAAAACGGCTCTGGCGCCCACGGCCGCTCACCATTCCCAAATCAGAAGCATCCTGCGCCGGGTGATTCTCTCTGTGCGAACGCTTGCTTTACCGTCCGGGATCCCACTCACAAGATGGTTGGAGTTCCGGGACGATCCAAGGGTTGCAACACATGTCGCAAGCGGAAGAAAGGAGTAAGCGCACCAAAACCCTTGAGCCACTATCATACATGCGCCTGATCATTGACCCCGTGTACGGTAGTGCGACCTCCAGAGACCGGTATGCGGGCAGTGCCTGAAGGCTGGCATCGAGTGCGCGGGTTATGAACGGAAGCGCATCTTCGTCAATGTCATGCCCAACAACCCGAAGCCTAAAAATACAGCTCTAGCCCGTGTGGCGCCTCCCACGATCCCAGCACCCCTGTTTTCGCATTCCGCTTATGAGGAAAAGATTCTTGATCTGTTTTGGGAGACATACATGCCCGATGCCCCGGCTTTCACCCCAGGAACCCCCATTGTCCGGTACTCTCATTCAGACTGGGCTGCTACAGTCCAGGATCTTTATCGAACGGATGCAGCACTGCGCCAGAGCCTGCTGGCTATTAGTCTTGGGACCATCGGCCGACGCGACAAGCAAGTATGGATGATAGATGAGGGACTCAAGTTCTACTGTCAGGCACTTGGTGAATTGAACACTGCTCTACGGCATCCTACGAGATGGAGGTCAGATGCGTTGATGGTGGCTTCAAGGATCCTCGGTCTCTATGAGGTATGTGCATTCCAAACCACCTTCTTCCTCTGCGAAAAGCCAAGACTCATTTCATTTCAGCTCTTATATGGCGCAGATGATAGAGAGAGACGG